TTCTGGACCCGATTGAAGACATTGAAGATTTTTATTCCTTTCTTCCAATTCAGCAAATCCGGTAACCAAGAATAAATGGTGGGATCTGTTCAGTTTTATTTTCTTATTTTATTTTTCCAAGGTTGCTATAGAGAATCATGGAGAAGCTTTTCTGTCTGCGATCAACAGAGACTAGGAGAGAACGCACTGCGCTTTCTGGCCTCACGTTTTCCACTGACTTGAAATAGAATGACGACATTGAATCAATAGCTGCATCTACTGCAAGGAAATTTGAGTCAGTTTTCTAGTCAGAATCAATCTTGCACATTTACAAATCTACCATTCGTCCGTGAATTGAATACTGTTGCCATATCTGGTCTGGTTCTCTTGCTGTACATCTCGAGGTTCTTGAAAAAATCCAAAGAAGGATCTGCAATGCAATGTCGATCCTGACCAGGCATCTCGACTTCAGTCACTTTCTCACCGACGTGACATGGCTTCCATCTGTCTTTTCAAGAAATATATTCATGACAACTGCTCTGACGAGCTTTTTTCCCTGGTACCCCGCCTACATAAATTTAAGAATGCTACTAGTTTGGCATCTAGCTCCCACCAGTTTACTGTTGACAATTCAACCGACACTTCTACTCCAACAGTTTCTTTTTTTCGCACTTCCCGCCTGTGGAACTCCTTTTTGTTTACTTGGTTCGCTGACAACTACAATTTTCCAAAAGTTATATGCAACATCTTCTACCTTCTTGAATATCGTTCATCTTTTGGTCATTCCTCAATCACCTCTAGACTCAGTCTTTTCTTTCAATTTCACTCCTTGTAACTCACTGTGCACTAGTGGAATTATAGTTTCCCTTTGAGCGAAATGGTTAAAAACAACAATAAAACTTCTTATACAATTTGTATATTCGATAGAACCGGCAACGTAGTGGAATTTCAATTTAAGTGAGTCATTTTTGAAGTGGTTTCAAATACGTTTTGTTTTTAGCGACTTTGCCCATCATGTCAAGTGGAGTCATCATTCTAATGCCTCTAATCCCGCTTGTATCAAGACTTGGAATTTCTCAATTGCTCTCGCAAATACAAGATATCCTGACTCGGCTCCCTAGTAATCCCGACGGAAACGCTTTTTTACTTGATCTTTTCCTTACCTCCTCTCCGGACTTTTGTCGCGCTTTACAACTCTGTCCTCTTGGCAAATCTGACTACGCTGGCATCTTTTCGTTAACTAACACACCTGTTTGAAACTCATTTTGTGATTTTCTTCGCAACACTCCTTGGAGTGAAATCTTCCCGCTGAAAATTGACCCACAACCAAAGTGCCACTGGGTAAAAACCGGCATCGAGGCTTTTGTGCTAGCACGGAAACATTAAGTAGAACAAGTCTTCTCTTTCATTCACTCCCGTTCAGCAGTCCAAAGGAATCACCATCATCTGGTAATACCACCCTGACAGTTCGGATCATAACAAACGCTTCTTTGTATCCGTTCGTAATCAGTTTAAGCGTGTTGTCTACGAGTCTAAGTCGCCGTTCGCTGATAGAATGAGACAATGTATAACCTGTCACAAGTTTGGTTCCAAAGATTAAAGATTTATTCTTGTTCAACACACTCAATCCCTCCACTCTTCAATCATTTTGAAGTATTGTCATCTACTGCTGATAAAGCATTATTCTCTACTCGAAAATTCTCTTCTAACTTCACACTCGACTCAACAGGAGTCTGCCTGATTTTCCTCTACTGAGAATATGCACACAGTTCAATCCATGGTTTCTGCTATCATTTCAAAACTAGATCCTATGAACATTATTTACATTATTCGGACTATTGTTCACATCTTTGTCGCCATATTTATTACAACGTTTCGGCCGTTGTACGCTCCGCCCTTCTTCAGGTGGTTGGAATGTCGAACTGAACCCTTTATTTCGCTCACTGGTGTAGACTGTTCTGGTTCCACGTGCCATGTTTTAATGGATGTCATTTATCAGTTATCTCCTGTTAATTTCCCTCTAAGTTCTCCACTGCCTTAACCGGGTATTGAACTCACACTCTTTGGGTCCTGTCACTGGATCTAACTAACACCTTTATCCACGGCGCCATGTGTCCTTGATGACATCTGTGTATAAATTTCTGAATGCCTAATGCCTTCATCATTTTTACCAGTGCTCATATTGCAATTTTTTCTGTTATCATTGCAGGTTTTTACCAAAGCTCATATTGCAACTTTTTGTCGTTATTATCGCTTTTCTCTGGCACTCCTTATTACTGGTTACCATTTCTATGCTTGGTCGGCTCAGGAGACTTTTATAGCATAGCATATGTACTGATTCCTTAAGTTTACGAATTTTCCAATGGTAGATCCCATGATATGATAAATGACTTGATCCTACGATAAGATATGCGGACTTGATGGTATCCTTACAATTTTTCTAAGGAATGGTTCCTGTTCTCTTCAAACTAATTTCTTACTGCTTATTGCTTTCTAGAAATCCTCTTCTGTAGATCATGTCTTTTAGAACTTTCTGATAGAAACTTTCTGATAGATCGTCCTATTAATCCTTTAATCTCTTTTGTGCTAGTGGCTCTAATAAACTCTGAATTGGTTAGGCATCTCTCTTTCATATAAACAGTATGGCTTTCACTTCTCTAGGTCAACCACCGACGTATTAACGATTATTATTGAATCTGTCTCTCAAGCCTTAGATAAGAACGGCGTGGCTCCAGCATTGGTTTTGGATATCTCGATGATGTTTGACAAGTTTTGGCATGCTGGCTTTCTTCACAAAGTCAAAGGCGACGGTGTCTCTAGACGAATATTTGTCTTAAATCATTCTTAACAAATTGTGTAATGAAGATCGTGCTGAATGGGCTACTCTTCTACAACATTCACATTAAGGTGGGGTCCCTCAAGACTCTATGCCTGGGCCGACATTGTTTCTTATCTTCTTCAACGATATTCCAATGTAATCAATCTAGGTATATATGCTGATGACACAACTACTTACTCTTGTCTTAATTGTAAGTTCGATAGATCCGATAAAGTAAAAACATTGTAACATTGTAAAATGGGGCAAGAAATGGCCTGTAATTTAACGCGTACAGAACGATATTGGTATATTTTAATCGTTACAGAGAATCACGTTTGCCTTGCATCAGTATGGCTGATGTTAAACACCAGGACAACAAATCTTAACGCCTTCTTGGTCTTTTCAATAACATGAAGTGGAAGGATTTTATTGAATCCATTTTTAAGTCTATTGCTAGGAATGTTGGTCTATTGGGCCGTGCTAGACAATTTTTCTAGCAAGAATCTATCTTGCACATATCTACCATTTGTCCGTGCTTTGAATATTGCCTGAATTTTCTGCTATATACACACTCTTGTGCAAATTGATTGAAACAGCCGATTTACTTTCCTTTCTTTCAGAATATGGTCAGTTTTAGACCCACTGAAGTGATGGAGTGTAATCGAGTCCTATTTTTCCTTAGATTAGATCATTTGCAGTGGTGTTCAGTAATATGAATCTATTTTCGGAGTGTATGATGAAATTTTTTTGGCCTTGCGATATCCGTGATTGATTCATAACGACCAGACATTATTGTCTCGACTGTCGATTAGTTGTCCTACAACCATTGTCTGCGATGGACGAAAATTGTAACGCTGCACGAGCCCGCTTGCAAACCTTAGCAGTTGGGCAAATCAACGTACTATCGACTAGTTCGGAAACTCTCCTGATTTACATCCAATCGAGAATCTGTGGTCAGTCTGCAAGGAAAGACTTCGCAGAATGAACATACGAAATATAATCATTTGCACTGGGACATATTTCATTAGAAAAATACGAAAAAAAAGTAAATAATAACGGAATTATTCGTTTTGTTTCAATTAATTTGCACGAGGGTGTAGATGATTATGGCTCTCCACATCTTCCTATATAATTAATTTGCACAAGGGTCTATCTCGAGATTCTCGATATAATCCAAAGAAGGATCTGTCAATTAGTCTGTCCTGACTTAACATCTCGACTTCACTTACTTTCTCACCACCGTAACGTGGCTTCCCTCTGCCTTTTCTATATTTTCATTGCAATGGTTCTAATGTGCTTACCTCCTTGGTATGTCGAGCTCACGAATTTAAGCGTACTGCCAATTTGGCAACAAAGTCTCATCGTTTTACTGTTGAAATGACGACATGTAACCGTAATTTATATTTTAATACTTTCTTTTCTCGCACTTCTCCCCTGTGGAATTCCCTTCCAGATTCTTGCATCACTCCCACATGGGATCATCAATTTTTGAACATGCACGTGAATCGTCATTTTCTGTCTTCTTGTAGTCTGTTCTTTTATTGTCTTTTCTTCGCACTAAAGTCTTCTCATTCTTTTTCACTCTCAGTAACCCCTGGCGTCATAGTGGCATGATCGCCTGGCTAGGGGGAAATACGATCATTAGCTCTTTGTTAATAAATAGTTGTCGATCATATATATATATATATATATATATATATATATATATATATATATATATATATATATATAGTTGGATTGATGTGAGTTTGTGACCCTGGCTTTCACGCTTTTTGTGACCATCAGACAAACTGATTAATTTTTTAAAATTTTGGATTGATGTAGGGTTGAGTGTATTAGTGTTTTTATGGAGGTGGGAGGGAAAATTGTCGTCGTGACGCCACTCATACTTACGCAAATATATGCCCGTGCGCCCATTGACGTACGAAGATACACAAACACACGCGCTCGCCCACCGGAGCTCGCACAAACATAAATATACGTGAACAGTATGGGACTTGACATATATATGTGCCGTTGTGTACATACGTACGCATTTGATTGCCGTATATATAATGCATAAATAATATGTACAATAAGTTGCATATATATATATATATATATATATATATATATATATATGCACACACATACATATATGTATGTGAAAATGTACTTATATATATACATATATATATATGAAGGACAACTCTGAATTCAAAACCTGCGGAGGGTCGTTTGGGAACCTTGTGGCATTCGGTGCACCAGGTTTCTGTATTCGTCCCTCCAAAAAGTGTGGCTGATCCTGCACGAGGCCTTCACCACTATAATCAAATCTCATGTGCCGATGTCGGGATGTCGGTTTCCTGAAACTTATCGGCCTGACCTCATACGTCGAACTCGACGGGAGAGTCGATTATATATATGAAAAGTGTATATATATATAAAATATATACAATTATATATATATATATATATATATATATATATATATATATATATATATATATATATATATATATATATATATATATTAGCTTTTGATTAATAGTTGTGATCGTATATATACACACACTCAGACACACATATATATATATATATATATATTTTAACTATATATATATATATATATATATATAGTTAAAAACATTCTTCGTGGTATAGAATTTGAGTATTGCTGCAAAAATGTTAAGCTGAATAGTATTTGGCATAATTAAAAAACTGATGGTAAAAAAAATTAAAGATTAAAACTAACCGGTTTCGCTCCAGTTCTTCAAAGTTTTTAATCGGGAGAAAAAGAGTAAAATACAATAAATCTAATTAGCGAATGATTAATGAGAGGACACAGAAGAGAAGAGAAAAAAGGGAAGGGTGACGTACTAGAGACTAATGATAGCAAGCCCCAGCAAGCAATCACGTTGTTTACAGAGAGACGAATTGCTAGAGTTAATATACAGTGACTATAATACTTTAAGATGAAATAAAGAGTGTGAATGGGACAAAACAGTAAACCAGTCAACACTGCATTCAGCAGCACACTTACTGTGTTTTTAAGGTGCTCACAGAGAGAGGATCCATAAGTATTTGGGATTAGTTCATTTGAAACCAAGGTGTGATTCTTGTTATATATATATATATATATATATATATATATATATATATATATAATCAATTTTGTTATTGCGCGCGAATTGACATAGTTTAAATATATATAAATAATGTTTGACTGTATATTTCTGCAGTTCTCTGCATTTCGGCGATCATGTGTGGTAATTAATATTTAATGTTTAATATTATTCTCTTTATTTCTATTGAGAGCCGAGTTTTGTATCAATGATAAATTTCTCTAATGTCTTTGTTTATTGCAGGCAAATGCGCATTTATTGTTTAAATAGACGATTGTATGATGTTGTTATGTTTCTGCTGATAATAAATGAAGATATTTAATGTGAGACGAGATATTCTTGTGTAAAAGATGTTTGAAATAGAAAGTGAAAGTAGATGCGGTGGGGGACCGAAAGTGAAAGTAGATGCAAGGGAAATCGAAAGAATGTCTGGAAGCAAAAATTAAGAGAGTGCCAAAATTTAAATCAAAAAAGAAAAGAAATAGAAAAATAAGAGAAAAAGAAAAAGAATGGAAAAGAAAAAGAAAAAACTGAAAAAGATAAAAAGAAAAATGTAAACGAAAAGAAACGGAAATGAAAATGAAAAAAGAAAAAGAAAAAAAAGAGAGAAATGAGAAGAAAATGTAAAAGAAAAGAAAGAAAAGAGAAAAAAAGCTAAAAAAAGAAAAGAAAAAGTGTAAATAAAGGTAAAAAGAAAAGAAAAAAGAAAAGAGAAAAAAAAACAGAGAAGAAAAAAGAGGAAAAAAAAAGAGCGAAAGACAAGCGAAAAAAAAGGAAAAAGGAAAATGTAAAAGAGGGAAAAAGAAAATAGAAAAGGAAAACGAACAAAGCAAAAAATAAGGAAAAAAGAACGCAAAAATAAAATAAGACAAACAAAAGGAAGTAGGGGACGAATGAACAAAGTGGTAGGGGGGGAGAAAACTGAAATAAGGTTTGAAGGAAGGGTATATATAATGGAGTAAAGAAAGGAAAAAGGAGGTAAAAATGAAAGAAAAACTGAAGAGACGAATTAAAAAAGAAATAGTGAACCAAAAGAATAAAGGAAAAGAGAAAAAAGGGGAAAAAATAAAAAAGAATGAAGTTGGTCTAAAATGAATCAGTACGAATCATTTTTCCTTTTAGCGGCTGCGAGTGAGGAATCGGAGAACCGAGTTCAAATTCTAGTCAAATCCATTAGATTCACTTACGTGCTAATACCCTTGGCAAAGGTATGAATCCTCTTCTTCTCCCCCACCTATCGGTATATAGTAGGACAGACCGGGTTCTATAGCCTTGGATGGCAACTGGTCTACCGCAGAAAGAAATGGCAACCTACTACAGGAAAAAAAAATCTACCTCGTCAGTCATGTATCGAAAGATTCATGATCGCCTAAGTGTGTATCACGCATGGCACTGACTGATGTGGAAGAAAATATTTTGAAAAAGAAGAAACAGAAAGAAAAATGCGATCAAATTGAACAAAATTCTTTTTAAATTCAAAAGAAAATCGGCTTTTGTTCTTAAAGGATTCACCGACTTTTAAATTTCAAGCAATGGATTATTCATGAAAGGACTTAAGAAAAATATAACCCTTTCGTTTTATTTCAATATATTCCACATACATGGGACACAATGCGTATTCATATCATTTTCTATGTAACACAAGAGTCCCCTACTCACGGCAGAGCAAATGATCTACCTCCATATAGCTCTTCTGATGGCGTAATTAAGGTAGAAGTTTTTGTTATTTTAAACATCATAAATAAAACTGTATAAAAAAATTATGTCAATTTATTTTGGCTCGGATAAATTGATTGTTATTATTTGCATATACAGAATCCATAAATCTTAAATATTTCAGTCGTTATATAAAATAATATTTACGATATACAGTTGCAATAGATAAATTGTCGTCTAAATTACGCAAAAATGAAAATAACACTGGCAACTCGTTTTAACAGATAGATTTACCAAAATTTCACAAAAATATCTTGAAATGCTAAAGAGTTAATTTAATAAAATTGCCATTGGCTTCAGCCACGACCTTCAGACGACTTCGGAATCTCCCGCAACTCTTCTGGACGGTCTCCCTGTTTAAGTTGTTGAATTCTGCCATAATTCTTGATTTCAGTTCATCTTTAGTGTTTTAAGGAGTTTTTTGGTCTTTAGCTTAACTGAGACCCACACATAATAATTAAGGGGGGGTTGCAATCTAGGGGAGTTAGGTGACCAGAGGTAAGGGGTAATGTGGTCGCAGAAATAGTTTGACAGAATATGAATTGGTTCTCCTGCTTGTGTGGCATGGTGCAGAGTCCTATTGCCAGACATATGGTCTTCAAGCCGCCACCCTCAACCCAAAACAAATACTTGATGTAAGCCTCACTGTTGAGTTTGAGGACCTCAAAAAATATATATAAAGAGTCGTGAATATCATGTATCTCTTGTTATAGTAAAATTTTCAGTGGATAAGACGCAATTTTTCCAACAAAGATTGTTCCTTGTTTTATGCATCAACGATTATAAATGCCAGTAATGTCTCGTCTGGTGTTTCAGAGCCGTACTATCACTGATATCTGCCAGGATTTGTTTATGTTTGTACAAACCACTCATGCTATACGTGTCACCTACTTTGCTTAGTGCAATGATCCACTTTGTTGAATAAGATCCCTACCGGTGAATCCACTAAGTGTTGCGACCGCCCGTACAGCAAAAACTGTTCTAGAAAGGGCCATAAAATAACGCACGGGTTCAGCTGGCGCCTGGCTTCAATCATCTGTCTGCGATAACTATTTCACTGGTTAACCATTTTTTATGATTCCCTATTTTGAATTCTCAATAAAGCCAATAAATAAATAGGAAAACCTGTTAACAAATAAAACACTGGTCATCAAATGTTGGATTTATGCTTTCGAATCCTGATCGTAATCGTTCGTAATCAGTAAAACTAAAATTTATTGATTTCTATGTAATCGATTGGCATTATGCAGACTTGATCACGTCTTAATTTAGGTGTGGTTATTAATTGATAAATTAAGAGTCATTATTGAGAACATGCCAGTAGTTCGAGCCTTTGCAATTCGGAATGGTTTATGAAAGATCAATTCCCGCCCACGGGCAACAGGATAGAAGCATTAATTATTTTCAGTATTCTTCAGGACGCGCTCGAAACGTGAGTGCCTCTTGAGATTCAATTCCAAAAACGCCATAATACGATTTATTAAAGAAAAGCACAGTACGGCAATTCAAGTACTTTTTACCAACAATCTGAAGTCCACAGTTTTGGCTCAGAAGATAAAGCCACAAACAAATTTTGTTTAAGGTTCCATTGCAGATAAAAGAAACTCCTTATCAAGTATTATTTATCAGCAGAAATAGGTTTCTGGTTCAAGATTAGATGAAATTGTTAGACGACCATATTTGCAACTTAAAAAAAAATGTCTTTACTTGATTGTTTCTGTTTGAATTTCTGGGATGAGCAGTTATCATTATTTACATTCAGACTATTTTCCTCAATTTTGTTGTTATTATCACACCCTTTCGGCAATTGTTACCCTTTGTTCAAGAGCTTCGAGGAATTTCGACCTGAACAAGTTATTTAATCTACAGGCTTAGATTGTTCTCGTACCTCTGTCAACGTCAAGGCGAGATAACTCGTCCTGTGTATTTATGATGACAATATTTCCCAAAATAAAATCGTAGAAACCTCTCAATTCGTATTTAAGCCAAAAAAATATTGGTTTGCTTATTGAGAAATACTATTTTTGCAATAACAATCAGACCCTAAGTCTTTAAAAGTAACACGATTGAATATGCCAAGACCAACAAGTATTTTCATCAAATCATTTAATAAAGTAACAGCAGAAATAAAACCTTTGTGAACATAACAACTATAGTAAATATTTTCTCTTTCTTGATTGTCTGTCATGTTTAATGTTATTTAAGTCCCTTTTGATATTCCAGCAGTATCGTGTACAATGGAATAGGTGCATTCAATTGAGATGTCTTTAGCTGGAGTTTCTTTCCAAATGTAAAAACAAAATGCTTTCCGTGATAAAAGAGATGGGATAAATTTATGAATATCAAACAGATTTTAGGGTTTCATTTTTGATGTCACCTTAATTATCAGTTTACTAAAATGTATCAGTTAATATGAATTTTGTCGACAAATTTGAAAAATTCGGTACTTCTATTTTAAAATCTTTAACTCAAAAACACTTTTTTTCTTATAAAAATCCTT